CTCTCTCTCTCTCTCTCTCTCTCTCTCTCTCTCTCTCTCTCTCTCTCTCTCTCTCTCTCTCTCTCTCTCTCTCTCTCTCTCTCTCTCTCTCTCTCTCTCTCTCTCTGTGCGTGTGCGTGTGCGTGCGCGCGCGCGCGCGCGTGTGTGTGTGTGTGTGTGTGTGTGGTGTGTGGCTCGATGAAAAATACGGCATTTCGCGAAACGCGTAAAGGGTCGGTTATATCCGAGGAAACCTGCATTAAAGGATACCATGTTCCACCGTTAGTTTAAGACCGCCTCTGCGTATCTACGCTGCGGTAACATCAGAAACTTTGTGCGCCAGAAAGTTCTTCGCCTCGTGAGAGCCGCCCCAGTCTCAGCGACACTTCTGTGCGAAGCAGCTTTCGCGCTTGTTCCCCTTCGTACCTATCGCCCCGGGGCGATCGCGTTGCTAAATTGTTCGCACTCGGTCCTCCTCCTCGCGTCAGGAGCGGATCATGTGCTCCGATACAGCGGATAAACCGCCCTGCGAACTAAGTCGAGCATCCTTTTTTTTTTTTCTTTTCTTTCGGTCGCCGCCGCAGCTGCAACGCCGCCATCCTTGTATCCAATCTGCCGGATCCTCGTGCGCACGAAATTGCGTCTGTTTCATCGGCATTCAGGAGGAGTGCCAAAATTCGGTCTTGTTCCGATCCCGCTTCGTCGGGAAACCGATTCTCCGCTTCTGCTTCCCCGTCGAAGAATTCGCCCCCACGCTTTCCGCTATGCGGAGGATATGCAGTCGATCACGGTGGAATATCAAAAGGTTTCGGATCCCTCGGGTAGTGAGAATTTTTCAGATTTTACAATTCGTAGTCGGCTGTCGGCAACGTTTATACGGATATTTCTGCGACACGTTAACAATCTACGCGCTTTCGCGTTTTTTGATGTTATTTCTCATATAACTGTCAGGTTTCTCTCTACGGGGAAGAGGTTGAAAGCGACGAAAGAAAATGATTAAAAATACGAAATTATGCACATACAGACTGACGAGAAAATCAACATTAAATTCAGCATTACATCGCTCTCGTGATAAAACTGACTCTAAGTTTAAGTTCAAAGAATTTTAAAATTTCGGTACGATTCAAAGCGATTCAATGGAATATATAATGTATATTTCAGAAACTCGGCTGCGTAAAAATTCACGAGGAGGAATGATGGGAATCGGATGTAATTTCGATTTTTAATAGGATTACAATTAGAATTCGCTTAATTGCAAGCATGATTAATAAAATAATCTCGCAGTTTCGCGGAGAGGCGATGAAAATACGTATATTTCGCCCGCTTCATTAAACTTCTACCTATTGTTTAAAACGGAAAAGCGGGGCAACGGTGTCAGCCCTGATAATGACATTGTAATGTTGCTATCGTCAAATATTCCATAAGCGTTCTCGAAAATTTCATACATATATGAGCGCGGTATATCGCCGCGCTTATTCGGCTGCGAAATTACTTTAACTTTCATCACTTTCCTCAAAGAGGAAAGGACGGTGTCTCGCACGGTGCATATTGCACGTTTTATTAGTCGGCTGTCTGGCGAATTCGAAATGTGCCCCTCGCAGGCACCTCGGTGAGTCCAGCTTGTGAATTTTAATTAAAAAACCGTGATAAAGGATGGTACAGTGCTCGCGTACCGCCGTGAAAAATAAGAGAGGTGCAATATTATTATTGACAATGCCACATTCCTGCAGTCATGAACTTAATTACGTTTGATAAATTGCACGTATAGTTCCTGCCTTTTACGTTCGCTATTATATTACACTACAGAGAAAACGGAGAAACGAGGGAAAGCGTCTGGAGCGCAAGAAAATTTACTCTTCGTGTTCAGTTGCCATCGCTATTTATACTCGTCCGTGCGAGCATAATTTTTTTAAATGACTTCACACTTGCCGATTTTATTTTATGCACAGCGTTATCCGCATTATCCGCTTGTTTTATTCATAACGTTTTTACATAATTTGAAAAATTTCTTAAAAAGAGAGATACGTGGAATTTTCCATTTCGCATTTCGTGTAATTAATATAATTCGATATAACAGGTTATCGCGGGATATCGAAATTTTGATTACGCGTTCGACCTCTTACATTACCGCCATTAAGAGCCCTCGGAGTGTATCCGAACTTATTGCCACGTAAGTGCGCATA